CTGATGCCTAAACAGATGCGCAATGTTCTCTAAGGTGGTCTCTCACGCATCCTCCTGACTAGCCTATGTAGAATTTTCTACTAGAAAAAGGGGTCATATATATACTACTCCCTTTATGCACTTCACGAACATGTTTCTGTGTTTTACGAAGCAAGCTGTCGAACCTATGGACTTATTAACACGTGGACACAAGCTTGCTAGTTTGGTTTTTGCCAAAAACTTTATGTCTACGCTGTATCTATTTCCAACGTGCTTTAAGTTGTGTGCCAACTTGTGCACGTATGGAATTACAACCATTTTTCCTCGCTCCTTCCACCAGCACATCTGTGTTTGTAATCGCTGTTGCGGCAAATGCTTCTAAAACACGCTGCCATTTTGGAACTCTACATTGCTAGGGTCCGTATTCAAAATTTTAGGATGCTTTTTTTAATGTTATTTTATTAATTAAAAGCATGCTTCCTGGTTGGAGCAGCCGAAATTCAGTTTTAATATCGCTGGTGGCTCTGGGGTTGGAAGGCCCACGGTGAAGTGGCTACGCCTTGTTACACGTCCACCTCTCGCTTTCCAAGGTCAATAGCTGATGATTAAAAAAAAATTAAACTTCACGTCATCGCATTCATTGCTTTGTGTGTGTGTATGTTTTGTTTTGTGTGTGTGTGGGAGGGGGCGGAAGCTGCGTCGCTTGAAGGACGTATCACGAGCACGCCATTTCGAGGCCTGTAAATGAGACATGCTTGTAAACTTTGTCTACTACTATAACATATGCTTCGTGTTCAGATAACTGACAGTGCAAAAACCGCTTCAGCAATTGGAGTGATCATTGTCCCTTTAGCCGGCGTTCATCTGAGTTATGCGACGCCGTGTTCAAAAGATACTATTTGTAAGTTTCACTTAGGCTCTTAGCAATGAATGTGATAGCAACAGTCTGTTCGCATTGAGAGTACAAGATAGAAGAATAAAACAGCTGTCTTAAATGCCTGCCGAATCAGCACGAGTGCCTTGTGGAGAAACTGTGACTTTTTTATTTCTGCTTTAGCTGCATTCCTCACCATTCCTGGCACGCTTTTGCCCGCTTTTAAAACACAACATGCGTGTGGGGATGTTATCGATTGGGATATTACACAAAACATGACGGCGAAGGCCAGTGGCATAGCCATGCGAGGGGTCTCATCGGGATTGTGCCCCCCCCCCCCCCCCCCCGCGAAATATTTTTTGCCATGGCATATATATAATCAATATTATCATTTGCATGCCCCCCTTCAAATCAAGGTGCCCCCCCCCCTTCCCACCTTAAAAAAAATTTAATTTATCTGTGCCCCTGGCAATGGCAAAGACCGGTCGAGAATGTCCTTGTAATTGCTATTGCAATAAAAACAAAATGGCTTTCGCCTTCTGGTCGTCTTAGGGGTATGCATAAGGTACCCTGGGAGATTTCTTTTTCTTCACTGCCTTTCAGAACACTACAGGGGTATTTTGGAGTATAGACAGAATACCCTAGCTACATAAAACATCGCGGCACAAGTAAAACGAAGTTTGTTAAATCGTGTAGTTTAAGCCCAGAGAGATGAGTGCCAGAGGAGGTTGACTTTATGAGACTAATTAAATGACACTATGCCCAGTAGTATAATCGGTTGTGAAGAAAAATAACTTTTCTATATCCTTGGAGTTGTCTAAGGGAAATGCAGCTGTGACTGTGCGTGTGTCTCTAGTGTTGTACGTCACAGCATTTTTCTACCGTATATACTGATAACCATATAGGTGTATAAAATGTTATTTCATGGAGTACAATTTTAATCCACTAGCATTCTGTTTATTTGCTTTGAAAATAATCACTGAACAAGTTTTTTCAGAATGGCCAAGATAATAATGCCATCATTTTTGCATCATCAACTAAAATAGGGAGAGCTCTTACGATAACTGTCTTCAGGAGATTTCAAATGAATGGAAATATACCTAGCTCTTCACAGGAGACAAGAGCCCCAAAATAATTATTCATGTCTTTGTATGTAAATGCAACTTGCTTCTCCTGCAGGGTGGAAAGTTAGCTGCTCCTTATTGCTCCAAAACGGAAAATTTTGCTGCTCCAATGTGCTCCAAAATAGAAACTTTAGCTGCTTCAAAATGAAAATTTCACTGCTCCAGAAATTGCTCCAGATCAGAAGACCTCGGTGGCACCACTGAACATATATTTTCTGGAAAGAGCATTTCATTGTGCAAAATTTGGTATGCTGCAATTCGTGCTGGAGTGATTTTCAAACTGGCAAAAACTATATTCCCGATACACATGAAAAATAGACTTTTTTTTTTTTTTGCGGTAACCAAAGAGTTGAAAAGAGGTGCTTTTCCTCAGTAATTGTATCTGTTGCAGAAAAAAATGCTACAGGATATATCGAAAAGAAAGAATTTAGAAGCTGAAAAGCAAAAGAAGCAATAAGTAGTGATCCCTTCTGTACATAATGTATCACATAGAATAAAAAAAAACAGCAAGCAAACATGATGTTCCAGTTGTGTTTTCTTGCACCCCAAAAACTGATGAGTTTTTCTAACAAAGTTACAAAGCGAATGAAACTTTAAAATGTAATAGAAGTAAAATAAAACAGGTACAGAGGTTTGTTAAGTGTGATATTGAAGTATAGTGAACAGTATTCCACTGACTTGCAAAAAGCAATACATAGGAAGGACTTCAAGATGTATCTACACTAGACTTAGAGACCATCGATAAAATTGCAAACAAATTCAGAGAATCTAGGTTAACATTGTAATCAATGCTCGTGCGCTCCTGAATTTGCTAAAACGAAAATAGCTAAACACGTGAACAGAGATGGGCTTGTGAAACAGCTATCACGGCTTCTCTGGGTTGAAAATAGCTTATACATTTATCATCTGCAGAAGTGAATCTCGTGGTAGAAGTGCAAAGGGAGGCGAAAGTGCTGTGTTTTTATCACTCTAATGTGTGCCTTGTACTCTGTATATATTGCCACACACACTTTTCAAGTTTTGTTATCACCCCATCGCACATGTAAGGGCTGTTTTGCGCAAACCGCGTGGATTCACTGAAAACCATTGAGATAATCTTAGAACCTTCCAATGCGATTATGCACACAACACAAACATTACAGATTCTTCTGGAACTTACAGGGCCACTAGTGATAGTGTTGAAATATTTGACAGCACATGTATAAATGCCGACATGCATCACCGCTTGTCCGTTTATCGACGACCAACAATGCATGCTGTGCGTTCTGTAATATGAGTTTCCGTCTTGTGGCCACAAGTTTGTACAAATAAAAAGTTTTGCCTTCAGGAAGCCTGCTTTTGTCTACGTCCACATCACGACCACATGACAATATGCAAAAAACACACGAAATGAAACTTGCAAGTTGCGCATCATATCGTGTACTTCTGTTCATATCAGTGTGTCCTCTTCATCAATACTGTTTTAAAATGGTGCACTTCCGACGCTTAGAGTTTCGATGGCCATCATAAGTTGGATAGCTAGCTAAAGTTGGATTGGAATCTAAGTCATTTGAATGCAGGGCAGCATATGTACGCCTGACAAGTGCTATTAGTGTTACCGTGTCACTGTTGTGCTAAAGTCTGGCTGAGCTTTTCGAGTGCCTGGTGCTCATCAATTCTATGCTTTGCCGGGCTGCTTGACGAACAGTAATCAAACTCAGGTAGGACATTGTGAAGTGCATTCACATAGCTAAACACCAAGGAAAGTCTGCGAAGGCTTATGAGGTGCATGGAAGAGGGTGCAGTGGCAAGTGGATGTATGGTTCTGGGTCTATAAAGGTTGCGAAATAAATGCAGTGCTTGAAATAGCATGCTGCCTCACTAAGAGAGTAAGAGAAAACATGACGGGAACTACAAAGGGAGAAACATTTGGGGATCGAGATAAAAGGATTAAGGGTACTTTCACAATAATGAAATCATCCACCAACTGTGGCTACGTATCTTGCCGAGATGAAAGCAAGCAATTTCTTTGAAACATAATTGCCTGCAGTGCCATAATATTCAACTTGTATTTTCGCTGGAGCCTTGACTGTTTTGTTTAGCAGCATTTTCTGGATATGTTCAAGTGTTGTAGGACCCATTTAATGGTACAATTTGAGCAAGTTGCGCAGGCCAGGAGATCAGTCATTGTCTGGAGTGTTTTTAGCCCTCCTAGATTAGCAGGTATGCACAGTAGTAGAGCCATGCAGGACATCCTTCCCACTCGGTTGGAAGCACCAATGCTGCATGAGAATGCAGTCCCATCGCAGCCCCTGGATGTCATAGTATATAATGGCAGGGATCAAGCCTGCTTTAAATGACCAGTTTGTTTCATCACAAACAATGCAGTCCAAAATTTTGGCCCATCTTTCATTGATTCCGGTGAGAAGTCAAAGCATTTAGAGGCAATGCACAATGCCATGAACCACGAAAGCACTTGTCGAGCAGTGCCCAACCGAAGCCGCTGTGGTCATGTCAGGGTATGGTCTTGAAAACGCATTTTGGGGGCTTTCCTTAAAAGTCCTTTTGTCTTGAGCAACCTTGAAAGGAGGAGGAGTGGTATTTTTTGCAATATCTGGCCCTAAATCTGAAAAGCAATGGAGAGAGAGTAGGGTACATATGAGGAGCTTTTTTTCAAAATGAGCAAATCCAGAACTGAAACCATCTCAGATCAAGCTCTATTAGTGCATACTATTAATTTTACTCTAATTAATTAGTAATAATAATTAGTACAACTATTGTAGAGGAAAATATATGGTATGTATTTGCCAATACAGCCTTATTTGCTCTAGTTTCGGTTCTTGACCTGCCCATTTAAAAAAAAAAAGCTCCTCATACGTTTCATCAAAGCGGCTTTTGGAAAAGTGTAATAAACTGTTGGAACCATTAGACCTGACAGTTTAGCCAGCAGGCTTTAACACTCATAAAATAATGATACCTCATAAATGAAGCAAGTTCCAGGCTTGTAGGAGGGGCTAACAACAACCAACTCGCATTTTGGTCAGATCACAGTGCCCTTCCGGTATGAATGGCTGGACGAGTTGTTCCGCGAGGGGGCCACGCTCATCTTCTTTGTGCTGACCGGCTACAAGTTCCGGCCCACACAGTCCAACCCCTACTTCCGCCTCTCCCAGGATGACGAGGAGGAAATGGAGGAAGTGTGAGTCTCTTTGCCATCTCTGATGCTCTTCATGCTTGGCCATTGGTCAGAGTGAGTGGCCACATTGGCATTGCAAGAAGAGTGGCTGAAAGCTCTTAATCTTGAAATTATGGTGCAGATATAAATAAAACCTTCCTACAGGAAACAAGGCTGTAATCAAGCACAGTAGAATCGTGACAAACAGAAATTGCTTAAGTAGAATTGTAAGCTGGTTTTTTTTTGTACAGTAGACTCCCATTATAAGACCACCGCAAAGGAACCGCTTCATTTGTTTGTCTTGTCAGGAGTTAGGCTTATCAGAAGTAAATCCAAAAATGTTGCTTGGAAACACTAAATGGAGTACAAATAAAATGGAGGGAAAATGATAAGCATTTATTTGGCTCAACCTGATGGAAATGTGGCTTTCAGGTAAAATATTTACACAAATCTAACAAGCACCCGGTTTTGTAGGTTCAAAATACATAGTATGCTAATGAATATAATGCTACCAAATTTTAACAATAAAACTGTCGTACAGCCTATGTTGACGATTTCGAAAAACGGAGGTGAGGTAGTGACAGGCACAAAATTTGTTCTCCTGGCAGTTGATTTTTTTTTTTCTCTGAGCCTGTTTTACTGGCTCCAATATCAGTTCTGGGTAGGTCTTATTGTATATTGTCACCATGACAAAGTCAGTTCTATACCCAAATCTCTGAGGAAAGTCTGCAAGCTTTTCTTTGAGATCTAGATATATTCTCATTTTTGGCCTGTATTAACTTTTCTTAATTGATGTGCAGCTGATCCCCGTTTGCGTGACTCACAGTCACAAGCTCAAAAGACACAGCATAGCTATATTTAGTGTGCAAAAGAATTTTCCTTTGTTGTGCACTTCCATATTGAAAATGATGCATCACAGCTTGTAATTAATTGGAAGCAGATACAACACGTACAGGTCCTACATGAACACGGGTCCCATCCTATGTTCGAAAATGAGGTCCCATCCTATGTTCGAGAATGAGGTGACCGCAGTTCTACTCATTTTAATTGGCATAAAGGATTTCACTTGCGAAACAGTAGAAATAGTTGCGCTGTGCTCCCAAATATAGAGCCTCTTTGGCGAACCACATCACATTGCCTTCAATTAGAAGAACCTGTCTAGCGAGCTCAAGGTTGAAGAAAGCAACTGCTCATGTGTAGCGAACCTCTCCGTAACGTGCTGGCACTTTTGCACTGTGTTGCTTCACTGCTACAGGCAAGGCCTTGACAGTTTTTGACATACGCTGCGACTTGTGCTGCCTATTGCATATATCGCATTAAGTTTCGTTGTGCCGTCAAAGCCTGAATATGCATGCCATTCACTTGATTACATAACGGAGCTATGCATCTTGAGATGAGGCAAAACGTAGTTTTAAAGGTAATATGAGTGCTCATTTATTTCCTTTCGCAGATCTATGTTATTATGTTACTATTAATAAGACCATGTGCTTCCAAATGCTCGTTTGTTCATGTTGGCAGTAGTTGATATTCAAAGCAGATATATCCAAGCACATTACATGCGCTATAAATGCATGGACATGATTTATTTTATTTTATTTATGGATACTGCAGTCCCTCCTTGGGCCTTTGCAGGAGTAATATACAAGAATACAATCAAACATTGTATACTTATACACTGAATATCTTGGCATGATTGAAATAATATACATGTAATATGTATACAACTCCAAAGTAATATCAATGTTTAGTACATATTAATTTGTGACAGACAATAAAATTTCACAAAAACTTTTTCAATACATGCAAGTCGCTTAAATTATACACAAATCAAGCTATTTTCAATATACATCGCTTTTATTTAAAAAAAAATTAAACTTTCAATACTTTCCTAAATTAATCCGTCGAGGCAGCATTTACTGCCTCTGCAGATAACGTATATTAGTAAAAAATAGCACAGGGAAAGAGAGCAAACTTCTGGGCATTAATGTGGCTAAGTAGCTGCCGAAAGTTTTCTCATGATTCATCCTTACTGAAAGTTTTGAAGGTTGCAGAAGATAGCAATTTCATGATAACTTGATGTCCCCGTGGTAAAGTTGGTAGATCAATTTTAATCCGGATACTATCCTGCATTGCTCAAGTTTTGGTAGGCTTGACTTAATACATAGATTTGTTACCCTACACTATTGGAAGTAAACAGAATAAATAAAACGTAAAGCTAAATTTGGAACTCTCAATTTTGTTAATAAAATATTGTTGCCAAGGGCTCTAAATAATGTCAGCATACTCTAATTTTGGTCGCACTAGTGCATTGTATGCTCTCAGTTTTAGCGTCGGAAGAGTATTACGCAGTTTTCTTTTCAAAAAGGACTATTTCTTCAGTGCACCCCTGCACACGTTTTCAACATGCGTTTCCCAGTTGAGGTTACTGGTAAGTGTGGCTCCTAGATATTTGACACATTCAGCTCTCGTAATGATAGGATTTTTTGTACAATATGTAAAGTGAAGGGGCATTGTTGGTAAACAAAATGGAATTTGTTTTTGAAGCATATATTTTTGACCCACACCTTGTACACCATTCGTCAAGGCACTGTTTAGTTTAATTTGGTCTGATTCATTATTCATAGCTGTGTATATTACACAGTCATCTGCAAATCGTTTGATCTGAATCAGTGGCTCAATGCATAGATGAACATCATTACTATAAACTAAAAAAAGAAGAAGCCCAAGGACTGACCCCTGCGGAACGCCATAGTAGGCTTCCAGCTCTTTCAAGACACCGCCTTTTATGGTAACATGCTGTCTTCTGTCTCTTAAGTAGGACGGAATTCATTTTACAAATTTCTGTTCAATACCTATAGATAATAATTTTTACTAAATGCTGATGGGCAACGACATCGAATGCCTTGGATAAATCTAAAAAAAATGGCATCGGTCTGACCTTTCATATTGAGCGTGTTAATTATTTCGTCAGTTATTTCAGCCAGTTGGGTAATGGTAGATAGACCAGATCTAAATCCATGCTGTTAGGCATAAAGTAATTTGTTATTTTTATGTAAGTAATAATGGCTTTAAATATAATGTGCTCAAATAATTTACAGCCAGTACTAGTTAAGAAAATGGGCCTGCAGTTGTTAATTTCCAAAGTAGAGCCTTATTTATATACCGAAATTATCTTTGCCGAATGTCAATCATCAGGAATAACTGCAGCATCTTATGAAGTAGTGTAAATGTGATGTAAATATTTTGCCACTTAAACAGCATATCTACTCAAAAAAGTATTCATTATTCCATCAGGACCAGGTGATCTTTAACATCTAGTTTGTGTGAAAGGCAAAGAACACCATCCTCGATTACCTCTGCTTCTGGCATACGGCAATCGCAGTCGTATCACCGCAACTGAGCATGCGTGGCTGTTCGTGGGATGTCTGACTGAAAAATGATGTTAAATTTGTTGGCAATGGCCGTCACGTCTATAATATTTTTTCCTGCGACTCTGATCTCTTAAATGCCTTGTTTATGTTCTGACAAATAGCGCCAGAATTTTGGGGGTTCATTCATGAAGGATCGTAATGTAACTGAAAAAAAAGCTGTTCTTTGCCGATCGCATTAGTTCACGCAGCTTAGAAGTAAGACTTGAAAGATCTTTCGTGTTTCGACGTTTGCTCCGACGCTTAATTCTCTGTTTCAAATGAATAATTTCTCACGTTAACCATGGGTATTCCCTATTAATTCGTTTTTTTTTTTAGCGGCACATATTGTCGCTCACAAAAAAGAACAATTTCTTTAAATTTTATTCACATTTTATTGACGTCATGAACTTGGCTAAAAGAATCAAAGCTAGATTCCAAATAGTTTAAAATAGGGTTATTATCTGCATGAGTGTAATCTCTGACGAAAGAATCTGACGGTCTAGTAAATGAACGTGTACATGAAACAGAACATGAAAGAGCGAGAAACTTGTGATCAGAAATACTTTCTTGTACAGTCACAGAACAGCCTTCAAATGAGTTGCCAATGAGCGCCAAATCAAAGAGATAGGATGATGACCTTTTCATTTATATACGTATGAACATACATACACACGTGCACAACCTTTGTGTGTGTTTGTGTGCGTGCATATACATACATACAAAATAAAAAATGCTCGGGAGGGAGGATTACAGCAGCTTAAATGGGTAGCACTACAACAAATAACCATTTGCGAAAGATACAGTCACACACATAACGCAAAAAATTTTCTGAAGCGCTTGCTTATATAGACAAAACTATACTCTCATTTAGAGAACCCCGAATATTCACAAGAATGCACACAAGCTAAATAATGGTGTACTCACCGAGGAGAATTAAGTCGTCATGGGTTAATTGTACCGTCGTGTGCCGTAGTGTCAGTCACCTTCTTTCCAATGCTTAGGTTTCTGATATTTGCGCCATTATCCTTCGCGCATCGTCTGTATCTGTCATGAAATGATAAAATGATACGTTTGCATCTCCACCACAATGCCACACATCGCAACACACTGCAATAGTCTCTGGACATCGCTTTATTCTTTTTCGGGCTCGCCAGTGTGGCATGGTGAAACCAAAGGAACTTCGCTGTCGCTTTTTAACACGCACAACGTAGTAACATGTCTTCTCTCAATGTTGACCCAGCGCCGTTTCCAGGTGCAGCCGCTAAGTGGCGAGTGCTCAATTGGAGTCGCGAATTGCAGCATGGAATGGCAAACATGAGTGAGATATCACTCAATAGAGGCAAAACTATAAAGTTACATAAAGGAAAGTTTTTTTTTTTTTTTCATTCATTCATATGAAGGGTCTCATTCTGGCAGACTTTGTGTCTTTTATGTGGTATGCGAGGGATTATTGGTCAGTGGCCAGCTCGTAATAAAATCACATGCGATGTAACGCCAATATGCAAAAAATTACTGTCCCACACTCGCCATGATGGCTAGAGGCGGCGCTGAGTGACACTTCCACGTTTAATGCACATACATATCCTGTAAAGTGGATTGGGGGATGGCTGCCAT